AATTAAGATCTTCGATTGTTAGGTGATATCTGCTGTAGTCATGATCAAGTCCACGGCAAGATCCAGGACCATATTTTTCATACCAACCCTTGATTTTTCTCTCTAGGTCAGCATTTGCATCCTCCAGAGCGCGCACGTTATCCAGGTAGGATGCCAAGCGATCATTAAGATTCTGCATGGTCACCTTCTCATTCCCAGAGAGGAGTCCCCCTTCACTTCCAGCAAAGCCAGCACAAGCAGCACTTCCAAGGGCACCACCAGCATAGTTCCCAGCAGAAACGCTGCCCAAGCCCCCTCCCAAAGCACAGGAAAATCCACTTCCGGCACCCGAGCTGCTGTATGCATTGCTACCTACAAAGCCTATGCCTCCATTGGGTGGTCTGGTAGATCTAGTTCCAGACCGCAAGCAAATATGCCTGGACCCACTAGAAAATCGGAGAGACATAGTAGTGTGAGAAATGTTTGCCTTGTCTGTGGATAGCTGGAACTTCAAAGGAGAACAGAATGTTGTGTGCTGATGGCTTCTTTGGGCTTTTATACACAATTATCAGGGTGTTTCTATTTGAGTGAATGCGTGCCAAAAGAAAAAAAGGCATCATTCAGATTAGCATGAAATTATGTATAATTAGGTGATTTTTTGGGGGGGTAAATTAATGCCTAACATCTCTGGCTGTTGCTTCAGGATATTTGTTATCATAAATATAATAGGGTTCATTCTATATTAAGTTCATTATTTTAACTTCTAATTTTGGATGAGTAATCCTTTACTTTCATCTAGGCCCCAGGGATCATTATCTGGCACAGGTTATTATAAAGTTTTAAAAGTTAAGTAAGATTGTGATAGGGTACCATCAGCTGTGGTAGGGTCTTAATTACCAAAGAACCATTAACTACAGAAATACATATTTTATCTCACCATAGCAAAACACTGTGTTATTTTAAAAAGTATATTATCCTGGTACCTTCTCTGGTCTTACCATGATTAGGACATCTGTTCATTATCTTGAACAATAACATAAATATTGAGTGATTCCTTTATTTAACATGTATACCTACTATGTTTGGTGTTCAATGCTGAATGCAAAAATAGAGACCCGATGCTAAAAATGCAGAGGTGAAAAATATATGGTTACAATTTTTGAGAAAAGTATGGTCAGGACCAGACAGGGGCTAGGTCTTGTTTCACCTTCTGTACCAAGGAGTTTGGAATGAATCCTAAGTGGAAGGCAGAAGGCAACATAAGCAGGTTTAAATAAAAAAGGAAGGCCAACTACAAGGTTAGGACAGTGGTCCACGTGGGAAGGATGAAGGCAGTGGGATGGAAAGAAGTCGAAGAGGATATGGTCACTGATTGAATTTGGAGAATAAGGAGAAAGGGCGAATTGGGGATGACTCTTAGGTAATTGATTTCAGATGCTGGGAATTCCATGATATTAACTAAGATAGGGAATATAGGAGGAGAAAGAGACTGAGTTTAGTCCAGCTGAGTTTTAGGGATTAGTGGAATACCTCATCTGAAGATAGGAGTTGTGAACGTTTAGAATAAGTACATGGAACTGGGAAAAATACCTGACAAGCAATGAGTGAAGGGATTGTCAGGAAGAGCTGAGGGCCCAGCTGTCATTTGTAATGACATTCACATGCATTTTTGGAAGTTATCCTGTTCTAGGAAGCAGGAAGAGGACGCTCAGGCTGATGTGCATTTGAGATTTGAAGACAAGTTCAGAAGAAGGAAAAAGTAGTGAGGGAGTTTGGTGCTCTTCAGAAAACACTTGAGGTGATTGACCATACGGTCATATATAAAGAAGGAAGTAAGACCAGAGGGACAGATACAGTGAAGAAAGACAGAAGTTGAGTCATTGGGCATCTTTATGAGGACATGGAGCAGGAGATTGACAGAGATGAAGGACGGTGGGTTAAAGTTGGACAGTAGAAGCCAGAGTTTAGAATTTTAAAGTAGATACATGGGTGGGAGGTATTGCTCAGTGATAGATTGCATGCTTGGCATGCACAAAGTCCTGAGTTCAACCCTCAGTACCTCCGTTAGGGGGAAAAATTAGATACAACCCCAGATCTTGAGACATTGACTGACCCAAGAGTCATTGGAGTAGGAAGGTTATTAGCTGAAATGTTCAGTGGACCATCTACATAGCCATGAAGTCTCCCATGACGGCAGGAGATGGGAGAGAACGGACTATGAGCCAGGTGCCAAAGTCCTTGGATGATGGGAGGGTGTGGTGAGGGGCAGTTGGATGGCATTAGCCTCAAAAGAAGAGTTTTAGCTTAAGAATGAAATGACGTAAACTGGATGTGGTCTTGAGGAGCAAGAGAATATGGATTCAGCCTTGAAGTCCGTCTGTTACATATGTTGTAGTGGAGTTGGGGAAAGGATGGGGAGGGAGGTAGAAGGGGACATGGGGATGGAGATAGGGGATGAATGATCAGTTTCAGGTAGAAAAAGTTGCTAGGCCAATTCTGGAGAAAGGCACATTAAGTGTAATGATATAAAAAATATCTTTTCAATTGAACCCCAGAAACAAACAATTTGCTCAGACTCATCAGGCACTTGCCAGGTGAAGATAGCGCATAGGTTCAAGGTGATGTTGAGAGTCTGGCATCATGAACTTACACATCAAATGAGTACCTACTTTATGTATTGCCATCCATAGTCTTAAAATGCTGTGAGGATTGGAAAATTATCTTTTAATGAAGTTATTGAATTATTGAAATTGAAATATAGTTGAATTAGAATATTTAAAAATATAGAGAATTGTGACTCTCTTCAGTATCTAATCATTAACTATAAATAACAATAACTAGACAAGTAATTGATGTAACAGACCTATATCCTGCATATGTAAAGAAAATATTTCCGAAGGAACGTCTTGTGACAAAAAAAAAAAAAGAGATTTCTTTTTAAACGCGTAAGTTTATGTAAGTGGTTCCTCCTATTCAGGCAGCATCACCCCTGGCAACCCCACGTAACTACACCTGCCCCTGCCCTTCTATTTCCACCAGGAGGCAGCCCTCACCTGCAAATGGATGTTGTTTGAGGCTGAACCTCCACTTCAGCCTGGGTCTCACATGCCCTCAGCTGGAAATTATTAAAACCCCGATAAGAAGCAATTTCAACATTGATCTTTTCAAAGTCCAGAGCACGATGAATATAAAGACAAAATTTCCTCACGTTTATATCAAGTTCTACAGCTTCCAAAGGGATTTCTAGTATATTATCTTATTTGAACCTTATAATGAATCTGGGAATTAGGCAGAGAGGTTTCCTTCCTCTGGTTTAAAGACAAGGAAACTGAAGAAAAGGACTGTTCAAGGGTACACAGCATCAGACCGGGTGAATCAGGCTAGAACAAGCCTTGTGATTCAGTGTGGTTCCTTTTAATATACATAATTATCTTTAAGTCAGGTAGAAAAGTAAAACTCAGACAATGCAACAGTCTTCAAGGAAAAACAAACATATTTCTTACCAAATTCTTTTCCGAACATCTAGTTAATAGCAAAATGAAACTTTTGATCACAGTTATGTAGCCTATCAGCCTATGCCATTCATTCTCTTTGTTTTGTTTATTCAGGAAATATTTAATGAGTGCCTACTATACACCTGGCACTGTAGTTGTGTGTGTGTGGGCGGTGGGGAGGATAGAGTAGGGAAGAAAATAGATACCTTCTAAGCTCTTATTGTGAATAATGCTGATTTGAACCTGCCATGGGCAAATATCTCTTCCAGACCCTGATTTCAGTTCTTTTAGCTACATACCCAGAAGTAGAATTGCTGGGTCATATGGTAAATCTGTTTTTAATTTTTTAAGGCACCATCATACTGCTTTCTGCAGCAGCTACACCATTTTACGTTTCCACTAACAGAGCACAGAGTTTCCAATTTCTCCATATCCTCGCCAACACTTGCTACTTTGTTTTTTTGATAGTAGCTATATACTAATGGATGTGAAGTGGCATCTCACTGTAGTTTTGATTTGCATTTCCCTAATGATGAGTGAGGTTGAGTATCTTTTCACGTTCCTATTGGCAACACCCAACTTGGTTTTATCTTTACAACAACTTGTTTGATCTATCAAGATGCATTTTGGTACCATGCTTTTTCTAGTCTTTCCTTCAGATTTCTAACTTTATGAAACCTTATGGAGGCTCTGTAGATTGAAATTTTTAATGAGAGTTCCTCTTGCATATCTTGGTCATGGTTCAGCTAACCTTTGAACCCATTTATTTACGCTTTTCTGGAATTTCTTCTGAGATAACTTATTCTGTGTAGAAAAGGTTAATTAAAAGCTTAAGTATGTGATCTTTTTTCTTTGTTAAAATCTTGAAGGACAAAACTATTTTCAGAACACTACCCAAATTCTTCCCTGTGGTAATGTCCTATGTTTATACCAACTCAAAACAATTCCTTTCTCTCCTAACTGGTATTAGGCTGGAAAGACCTTTTGCTCTGTGTTAGGATATGGATGATGTTTGTGTTTAATCTAGGGACTGAGGAGTGATGTAACAACTCAAAGAGTCCTTCTTTTGGCATGGCTTTTTCTGTGGGATGACCTGGATCAAAAAGTATCCTTCAAAAAAAAAATCCTTCATACCTAGTTTCCAGACTGGTTTTATTTCTGTTGTGATGACTTTTTTCTCTTTGCCACCCGAGGACACAGCTTAGATAGTTTGCATGATGATCAGGGCGACCACAGTTACAGCTTTCAGGGATGGTCAACTATCTCAGATCTTTGGGGAAATCGTCTGGTCCTTCCCATTTAACTTTCACAAATCTCTTGCTAGATTTTATTGGACCTCAGGTTCACTGGACTAGATTAGTCACAATCCTTTGTGACACACTGGAATTCAGTTTTGTAACCCCAGGACAGCAACTTGACCTTGTTCTCTGCCTCTTGGCGGACCACATTAATGCATACCTATTCTAAAAAGTTTCTGTGATGCTCATGGCCATTTTTGGAGAACCTAAGTTATTTAGCCAGTAGCGTATTTCTTTGAAGATGAACAAAATACTTTTTCTTCAGTATCTCCTTATTTTTCTAAGGGCTGTATAGGTATTAACTCATTTTATCCCCACAGTAATCTCACACGAAGTCATTATTATCCCTGTGGTATAGATAAGAACACTGAGACTTAGGAGTGTTCAAGTAACTTGTCCAAAAGTTACATGATTTGTAAATGCCTGGGCCCAGATATGAAGTCCAGGAATCACTGACTTTGAAATGCACACTTACAACCACAAATGAGCTCTTTCCCTAACTCCCACTCTCAATGTACAAGATAGATGGGAAATCCTGGATGAACCTTATTTAGTTAAACTTACTCAAGCTGTTTCCCCTATAAAGCTGACCACAACAAAGTTACTTCTCCACGCCAAAGCAAAATATCAAGTTGTTATGGACATCAAGGTCAGGGTGCAAAGCTTTAAGGTCTTCAGCGGCACAAGTCAAAATCTTCGGAGAACAGGCTTTTACAGTTTTGTATGATTTCACCTGAGTGTCAACATTGACTCTGCTAGTCTCATTGGACGCTGTCCTGCTTAAATAGCAGGACTCTGTAACAACCTTAGAATCTGTGAGAATGTATGATTAATAGCTATATGATAAGTCTGTGTAGTAAAAATAGTGACCTGTGCAGCTAGTAATTTTTTAAACTATGAATACCAGTGTCCTTGTTAAAATCAAACTGCTTGTTTAGACAAACTATCTTGATTAAACTGTAGTTTCAGAGTTCAGTCAAGAAAGTATCCCCCTCCCCAGTTTTACTGAAATATAATTGACACACAGCACTGTATAAGTCTAAGGTGTATAGCATGATGACCTGACATACATATATTGAGAAATAATGATCACAATCAGATTAGTTAACATCCATCGAGAAAGTAGTTCTTGATCAGAGAGAAACTAGTTACTTTATCAGAGAGTAATATAAATGTTTAAAGATATCAGAGGATTGAAAAGGGAAGACAGGACCATCATGATTCAGACCTTTCAGGAATGAAGGTTTTGGTCACCACCCAACCAGGTAAATTGTTGCAGAAAAATGTGTTACACCTCAGTGTTACAGCTCAGTTGTGACAGCAACCTGGATCCAGGTGAGAGACCAAGCAGCACTCAGGGAGTTGGAGAACTCAGATTTATTACGCCAGCAGGCCCAGAAGAGTTAACACTCCAAGCTCTGGACCCCGTCTGTAGGTTTACACAGGCTTTTATAGGCTGCCAGTTTACACTTTGCAACATCATATGCAAATAAGGTATAACAAAAGTTGACTAATTAGGAACAAGCTTTGTATAAAATGGACCAATCAGGAGGAAGAGAAATAACCAATCAGGAGTGAACTCCATGCAAATGAAGTACTACAAATGGACCAATCAGGAGTGAGGGAAATGGACCAATCAGGAGTTAGCTCAGGAAACCAATAGAATTTTAGAGGTAAGTTCCACTTTCCTAGAAGCAAGCCCTTTCAGAGGCAAAAAGTGAGATAGAGTCACTGGGCCAGGGAACTGGATAGTGCTGGGAGGAGAGTAGTGGCCCTACCTGGGGGTCCTGTGGGTCTTTTTTTAATGGGGCCTCCCACCTCAAAATAACTGACTAGCTGAGACCCTGGCTTGGAATACATTAACTATTTCATAATAACATATTTATTTGTCTCAAATTAGTGTTATGGAATATGAAAACACTTACTTATTCAGAGTAATGAGAATGGCCATCTCAGATTATGAACAATACTCTAGGTCCCAGGGATTTGGTTAACTTTGTTAGATAGTAACTATTTTAGAAGAATGTTTTTGAATAGCATCAGTATATACATAGTAGAAGCTCAAAGAGTCCTTACCCAGTAACATGTTTCAGGGCTTTACTAGGCGGCATGTTGGGACTTCAACAGACTGGTCCCCTAAAAGGATGGCTGGTATACATAGAAAAAGACATGTGAACTAAAGCATAGAGTCTCTGAACTGTGGTAATATTTGGTGCGAGGTAGGTCCCAGAGTTTTCACTATAGAGAAGTCCATTCACATTGAAATGGGGTTTCAGTCATCAGTCTGGGGTACAAGAGGATAGGGTTTACCCAGGAGTCCCAGTCAAGTAGCCTGGGGACTAGGTTTCAGGTCCTCGGGAGAACTGGAGCTCAAATCAAGAAGGATACTGAAGAAGTCTGCTAGTTTGTGGACATAGGTAATCCAGGAACCTATCAGAGAACACAATGTAGTCTTGGGGCACCGAATAACTCCAACATTAGCTACCCTATATCCTAGCAGAGTAGGAGGTAATGTCAATTACGTTCTTATTGGCTGAAGGATGTGATTGGATTGACCTTATTATGTCTTGACAGTACTTCTCCTGTTCATCTGATACTTGCCAAATAATTTTGTTGGGGTGATTATTTTACTGGGCTAGTGTTGGAAGATTCTCTTTTAAGCTGTATAGCAATTGGGCAGAAGTAATATAGTAATGGGAAGAAAATAAGGGCAGGTAAATGTGAGAAGTCAAGTAATCAGAAAATGTGAAATTTCCAATTAACTTTATCTTTGGGATATTATTTGAGATTTTTCACAATTTCTAGGACTGAAATAATTCAAAACCAGAGAACTGGGAGCTTTCTACATACTTTGTGTCTTGAAGAGTAAGACTGGGGATTCAGGGACTTTTTCCTCACTGACATTGCTATCATTGGTCCAACATACCCAGAAGATTAAGAACTGATTCAGAGAAATCATAATGACTATCATTCAGTCTTCAGAATTTCTGGATAAATCAATCTTCAAATGCTATAGTTTACTGACCTTTAAAGTTAAAAATATTATCTAATTCAAATTAAAAACAATTCTGACCATATTGGATAGTTTGCATCAGTAAGAAAGTTTATTGAAATTATCAGTAAATGAGAATAGAAAGTTTTCTTTTTTTTCCATTAAAGAACACTTTCTGGTAAAGTGAAAAGAAATACAGAAACCACAAAACACCATTTAGACACCTTATTTTCAAGGAGTGAACCTATTTCCATAGACCATTAAGACAGAAGTGTTTTCTTGGAGATTTTGTTTTTCAAGCATCTGTGCATTAATGGCCTGTGCGAAGGGAGACTCTTTCCTCTTGATGCGGCTTAATAGTAGTGTTTCTTGGTTTCTGATTCAACCACAGATGAAAGGACTCTACCATCAGGTGCCACCTCCTCAATAATTGTCTTGATCACTCTGGCTTTGTTAGTATCTGTAAGTTAATCAAAAACCAAATTAAGACTACGCAATCTGTGCGGTCCTTACTAATTAACAAGCAAAAATATCTAAAAAAAAATTACACTAAATTGAAAAAAAGAAAATTAAACTTTACGTTGCTTAAAAAAAAACCCCACACCCGAGCAATGTTTAAGTTATAGCATTTTAGACATTGCCATTTTCCCTTCAAGATCGGGGTCAAGACGATAGTTGGTTAAAAACCGCCAAGTGGGAATTCTAAGATTTTAATTTTTAAAATAGCTCTAGAGCTTAAAAAGCAACAAAACCATCGCAAAAAGTTAAAACTAATTCTGATTACCCCAGCTAGTTTCTGCTGACCTTGGTCCCTTAGATGAGGACTCGCCAATGGACCCGGAAGACGAGGACTTGTGGCCTCCGCTGGAGCTGCCGCCGCCGTAGTCGCCGCCGGAACTGCCGCTCTGGCCGCCGCCACTGGAGCTTCCGCCGCCGTAGCCGCCGCCGCCGCCGAAGCTTCCGCCGCCGTAGCTGCTGCCGCCGTGGCCGCCGGAGCTTCCGCCGCCGTAGCTGCTGCCGCCGTGGCCGCCGGAGCTTCCGCCGCCGCCGCCGGAACTGCCTCCATAGCTGCCGGAACTTCCGCCGCTGCGGCCGCCGCCGTAGCCGTAGCCGCCGCCGCCGGAACTGCAGAGTGAGGGTCACGTTCGGTTAACGCTAACGTTGGAAAACGGTGGGTCCCTTTCCATGTTATTATTACTTTAGGAAATAAGCAAAACACGTTTTGAGAAGTGTATTTCTCAAATGTATTTGAGTACTTGTTTTAAAACCCATTCTTTTAAAGCAGTTTTATATACACATAACCCTAAGAATCATTCTTGGTCAGGTTCGTGGGAAACTGATTCCGGTTGTATATTCCCTTCTGTGTCCTCTGCCTCCTCCCTTCTCTCCCCTTTCGCCTATCCTCTGACACGTTCTTGGGTTTTGGAAAAGCTTTGCCATTTGGAATAGTGAATAAAAGCAATTGGGATAATTTTAAAAACAAGTAATTTACCCTCCCTCTCCTTCTAGCAGGCTGCGGTAGGTTTGAATTTCATTCTCCAGTCGGATCTTAATATCCAGGAGTTGTTGGTACTCGGCATTCTGGCACTCGGTCTCAGCCCGAATCTGTTGCAGCTGCTCTTCCAGAGCAGTGATCTGGGACTGAATTTGTGAGAGCTGCACACAATAGCGACCTTCTGTCTCTGCCAAGGAGGCTTCCAGGGATTGTTTCTGAAAAGAAGAGAGAATATATTGTCGCTTAACGACCTCATTGTTCAGCTGAGTACAGTGAAGCTTGTTTAATAATTTAGTAAGCCATATAGAGGAATAAAGAAAATGAACGGAATTTGTATTTTTGGCTTAATGGCAACATTTCAGTTTCAGCACTTTTAGATCAATGTCAATAATGCCATTCTCCCATTTAGCAAAGAGCTCCAATTTTATTTCTTCTTTCTTACCCCCAAATCTGCATTTTCTCTGGTATTTCCCGGTTTTACGTGAGCCAGAAACTTTGCATGGTAAAGTTGAAGTCATTTCACGAGAGAGTTATTAACGTACCAGGGCTAGTTGGGACTGTAGCTCGATCTCCAGACCTTGAACAGTGCGTCTCAATTCAGTAATCTCAGATTTGTAGCTGGACACTTGTTCAATGTTACTATTGATTTCTGTAGTCAGTTCTCTGCTCTAGAATATTAAAAAGAGGGGAAACAATGAGGAAAATCTGAAGCGATAAACCAAACCTCCATTGGTTTTGCTGTGAAGGAGGATGAATTACCTTTTCATTGAACCAGGCTTCGGCGTCTTTGCGGTTTTGTTCAGCAAGTTGTTCATACTGGCTTCTCATGTTATTCAGAAGTTCAGTCAGATCAACACCTGGGGCAGCATTCATTTCTACATTCACATCACCAGTGGACACATTCTGAAGGTCTTTCATTTCCTGTTTGAGGAACAGAAACATTGAATGACTTCACTATGACCACCATGAGCCCTTTTTTGGCTAGGGGGAGTATAACTTTTTGTGTTACCTCCTCGTGGTTCTTCTTCAGGTAGGCCAGCTCCTCGTTCAGGCTCTCGATCTGCATCTCCAGGTCACTCTTGGTCAAGGTCAGCTCGTCCAGCACCCTGCGCAGTCCATTGATGTCAGCCTCCACACTCTGGTGCAGGGTCACCTCATTCTCGTATCTGAAACAAGCATGGTACAAATCCTGGGTATAACTTGTATCAGGGAGGTGTTTCTGAGCAGAGACTGTTTAAACACCAAATAAAGAGTTGACTTCATATCTTGGCAACACTTATCATATGCTAATTCATAGTGGTTGAATGCAGAGAAACTTAGCAGTTCCTTTAAAATACATTGTCTTCTTTTAATATTGCCAAAAAGGTAATCTTGAGATAGAAAATGTCTCAGACAACTCCAGGGCCATTTAACTTTGAGTGAATTCAGAAACATGTAAATGCTATTATGGGCATCCAAAGTCATTGTTAAAAACGACTCATGTACTTGTGACAGTATTGTACCATATTCACTTAGCTTACTTCATCCTGAAGTCATCAGCTGCCAGCCTGGCATTGTCGATCTGAAGCAGGATATTGGCATTGTCAGTTGTTAGATCGAAGATCTGGTGGGAGAGGCAAAGAAATCAGATACAGAGAGGGCTTTTTAGTGGCATAGATTAACAAAATTTTTATGTTGTCCTGTTGCTGAATCTTGGGGAATTTTACATTTTAAATATGAAAAATTGCAGGCTTGCCCATATACCCAGATTTGAGTCATTTGTTCTCTTGAAGTTTTTAGACTTTGCTATTTCTATATCATCCCTTTCCGAAAACTAGCTGGAATTATATAGCCATCTTCCTGCATGTGTGTCCAGCTCTTGTATACTGTGTGATTTCCATGTACTTCATGGAAACTTGACTGACTCATACCTGTATTTGGCCTAACTTGTTATAAATATATATTCTAAATGAATACTCTGCGAGCTGGTACCCAGTAGGTGCAATCCACAAATTCCCTAGAGACAAGCAGTATCCTGGTTTCATACTGGAGAATTCATGTTTCTTGCAGTGTTGGTAATGAGTATGTTTTTGGTTATCAATCTGAATAATATTTTGTTCTGATTCATTGAGTAATTCTTTCAGTCCCTATAATTTGTAAAAGTTCTAGTGTATCTTAATTTATGGATTCATTATATACTCATTAAAAATCTAAAAAATTCTCAGTAATCCCCCATCCCATAAGACAAACAACATACATGTTGGATGAGAGGATTGCAATGATCATACCATCATAAATATTTACCTTTGAAGAGACTGGACTGTTTTTAGAAGCAAGAAAGTAACATAGTCAAACACAGTTAACAGCTACATTGTGGCTAATTTAAGATCCATCTATCTGAATTACATGGTTAAAAAAAGAGGCTTTAAATTAGAGTTTTTAAACACCCCTTACCTGATTTTTAAGATCCTCAATGGTTTTGTAGTATTTGCTGTAGTCACGAGGCTCCCGCTGGCCTACGTTGGCATGCTTTTCATACCAGTCCTTGATTTTGCCTTCTAGCTCGTAGTTTGACTCTTCCAGAGCCCGAACTTTGTCCAAGTAGGAAGCCAGGCGGTCATTCAGATTCTGCATGGTTACTTTCTCATTTCCGGAGATAAGGCCACCATCTCCTCCAAATCCTCCACCAAAGCCTCCTCCAAAGCTGCCGCCTCCGAAGCTACCTCCTCCGAAGCCGCCCCCTCCGTAGCCCCCACCAAAGCTGCCTCCTCCGTAGCCCCCACCAAAGCTGCTGCTTCCATAGCCTCCACCAAAGCTCCCTCCACCGAAACCTCCTAGCCCTCCTCCATAGCCACCTGACGAACCCACCAGGCAGCCTCCACCAGAGCTCCCACGGCTGAAGGAGCCACCACTGAAGCCCCCTGAGCTAAATCCTCCACCATGGGAGCCTTTGCTGCTGGAAATTCTGAGGGATGATCCTCCTCCCCCACCCCCTCCTCCACTGCGGGAGGAAGAGTACTGCTTGCTTGAGCTGTATCTAACAGACAT